ACAAGAAAAAGGAAGTTTAATAATTTGAAAGTTATTGAAATCTGCTCTTTTACCCCTAATTTCTATTGCTGTATGAGTTAGATCTTGAGCTTCTATCACATTTTGAGATTGAGTGAACAGAAAAATCTCTTCGAGCAGATAGGAAGCAAAAAGAAAGCAGACGGCTTCAAAATTTTACTAGCTCGAAGCTTCTCAAAATAATTATTTTAATGAACTTACAATAAAGTGCAGACTGCTGCTTTTGTCAACAGGCAAGCTTTCCAAATCCACAGGCGAGTTCACGACGAGGGTGCCATTCGACAGAATACTGAGAGGCGTAGGAGGATTGATGGTGTAGGTGACACCTGGTGATTTCGGGAAAACCTAAAATATTTCGCTGGATCTAGACTTAATCCTATGAACCATAAATAATCCCAATTCGCAGAAATTTTATGACCTCAGTGTTGCTAAGGCAACGACAGCTTCGGTAACAACAGGGTTGACGAAAAGCCATAAAAATTATGTGGCTATTCGTTGCACATGAATTTTCGTCACCTGTCGAAATCAAAGGCCAAAGGCAATTGCCCGAAAATGGTTGCAAATTGCTAGATTTTTCAGAAAATATACCTCAATCGGCGGGTAAAGCGCTGCTCCTATCGGGGTGTTTTCGGTAAGTTGCATCCGGTAAATGCTTTGTGGAAAACGAAGAGATTTGCTGGAGACAAGACTGATTGCGACCTGCAAAGATTTTTTTTGCCAGATTAGCAGAAATTCTGATTAGGGGGTGCTTACCCCGACATCCGAGTAGAACTCTGGATAATTCAAGTTTATTGCCCGAACCACAACGAACTGAGTATCGTGATTTGAGGGGGTATTAGCATATACGGAATCCACAACAAGCTCGCCCTGAAAATTTAGAAAAAAAACTAAATAAGAAAAGATAGAAGCGAGCTATCATGCAAAATGTCCAACATACCGAATTTGGATGTATGGAGAGGCCTATTGGAGCTGTGCCGTCGGGGAAGAAACGGTACATAAGCGTACCGTTCAGAAGTTGAGCATCAAATCGGTGAGCAGTCAGTGGAAAGGTAGAGTCAATGGGGATCTAAAAAAAGCACTGTGAGATAAATTTGGAAACCATAAAGATAACT